GGCCGCCCCCAGCCTTCGGTTCACCAGCGGCTTCTGCTCCCGGACAGGGTCTCGGCTCAGCGCGGGCGGCAGGAAAGCCTCCTCCGCAGGCAGCCCTCGGGGGTCACGCGCTCGCCCAGGGCGGAGGCGGGGAGCAACGTCACGCCAGTGCGGCCGGCGAACGGATCGGTGTTGGTACGAACCCTCCTTGCCTAACGCGTGGCCTGGAACGTTGTTCCTGATGGCCTTCAAACAGAGGTCCACCAAACCCGCAAGCGGGATCGGAGCCAAGGGCGGGTTACGGGAGTGGAAGGACACCCACTTTGCTCAAAGCTAACTTTTTAGCAGCTTATGGGACACAGACATAAGCTACCAGACATATTCAAGGGGTGCCACAGAGCTCCCACACTCCCAAGGGAGTTGTTGCAATGGAGATGCCCCACCAGGGAGCTCATTAAACCTTCCTCTGGGTTAATGGAAACACCATCCGGCTTCTCCCGAAAATTCACACCATTTGTTTTAAATGCAACTTTAATTCCTGACAAGCGATGTGCAGAGGAGAATTAAAACAGAGCCATGACATACAATGCTTCAGCTCCCCCCCGCTCTGCTCTGTGCCCAGACAGGATGAAACGCGGACAGAAACGTCCCTCGAGAAGGAAAGGCATCAAGGGGAGCAGAGCGAGCGCACCGCCGCCTCGCTCGCCCCGCGGCCCGCACGGCTCCCCGGGGAAGGAGGCAGCCGATGCACGCCGGATGGCCAGGACACCTCACACCTGGGGAACAGAGCTCTGCTCTCCTCCCAAAATTGCACGTAGGGAACGGCAACACGGGACGACCAAGAGGTCAAAGCTACCCAGAGAACTGATGCCACCGCTGTGTCCTGCAGACACCCTTCAGCCGCTATCAGTCTCTTGTTTTACTCCCTCTTCCTCCTCACCCAGCGCGTTGTGGGAGGCCAGACACCTCATACCTTTCTGAGCCTGCACCACCCACTGAATCGGACATCAGTGACTCATTTACAACGAAACCCTGGGGAAATAAAATACCCTAATTTTCCAGGCAGCCAGTGGCCACAATACAAAGTCACATTTACCATGGAAGAGAGCGAGCGTGGGACTTCTAAAAGCCCTTATCCTGCTATGGCTCCTGGTGAGCACATGGGGCCGAGAGGGTAAAAGACCCACGTGTGTGGGGCTGCGCTTATGGAGAAACCTGCTCCTTCCAGAGCGCAAGCAGCACCCCGTGGAGGCTGAGCGCTTTCGGAAATCTGGCCTTGAAGGCACTGCCAAGGACTCTCTCATGGGTTGGGATCATGATAAATATTGCATAAGGGGAACAGGCTGTTACCCTTGCAAGGTAGGAACTGTTCCTCACAGTGCAAGTTCTTTAACATAGCAAACGGGAGAGGAAACAAAAAGTGGCTGAAAGTAGAAATAATTTGCAAAACAAAGTACGAAGACCCAAAGTACTAATGTCACTAGGGCAGCTGGAAATCCTGGTATTGTGCAACCAAATCACCACCTCCGAGCAGGCCCTCTCTCCTCAGATACACAACCACCACACTAACCTGGACATGTTTTCTCTGGCACTCGAAGGGAAGCTCCACAGCCCAGCGGAGCTCTTTTCCCAAACCAGGACAGTTATAGAGTTGTAACGGGGCAACAGTACCTACCGGTTTGGGGCAGTGGATATATCTAGCAAGGCTGATGATCAAGTCATGGGTGATTGGATCCACCAGGTTTCGAAAGCTGGCGTACCGATAGAGGACATCATCCAGAGAGGTTGATTCCATTCCTAAGTCCTGCAGAAAACAGGGTAGAGGGGCAACATTAGTTGTGCTGCAAAACCGGGTGGCTACTGTAGTTCTTAAAACTACCCTGCGTTGGTGGTCCCTACCAAGATGCCAAGAAGAAAGTGTTGCCCTCCACCCAACACAAGGAAGGGGCACATGTGCGAGTCACCCTGGGGAAACTTGCTTTCCTTTGCTTTATCCGCTCTGCAAAGAGGTCCTGGGGCTGCAGGGCAAACACCCGAATGCCTTCACAAGCCATAAATCCACCGAGCCAACTGTATGCAGCAGGCTCAGTTCTCTTGCTTGCAACAAGATAAAACATCAGGGATGACTCCAGCAAACACAACAACCTGACCAGTGTGAAACTGGGCCTGCAAAACCCACTATAGTAATGGTAGCGGCCTGTGGCTGCTCTGCGTGGGGAAGAGGGAATGAGCTTGAAATTGCAGCATGGGAAACAGGAGGATAAACCGGGGAGTTGTGGGGATAGTGAAGTGCTGGAGTCAACAGGCTGGGGACAGGGTGGAGGCTCTGCCTTTGGAGACTGGACAAGGATGTGTCAGCAACAGCTTAGATCGAGCTGATCCTGCCTTAGGGATGGACTAGACCTCCCGAGTTCCCTTCTGAGACTATTTTCTATGCTTTTCAATCCTCAGACATAATAATTTGAGGAATTTTGGCACCAAATTCATTCTATGAAACGCGTTAGCACACAAGGAAGAGGAGGGGAAGGGTTACAGACAGTGTATGCCGTTCACTTTGAGTAATTTATCTCCACTATTTCTTGTTCCTCAGCAGCAACCGATTAGGGGACACAAGCATACTCCTCCCAACTCGAATGCACATTGCGACCAAGTCCACCAGCCACCTTGCCAGGACAACCCTCGCCAGAACCCGCTCCCACCAGGAGACGTGCCTTGCGGTCCCTGTCCTACACCCGCGCTCCAAGAGATCTGCGTTAATTCTCCAGCCCTGCCATACTACGTCAGCTTGAGCAAGCCATTTCGTTCCCCTTTTTCTGTTAACGTTTGACAAGAATATTTCAGCTATCCACTAAAAATCAGTCATTGATGAAATTCAGGTAGGAGAAGTTGCACTAGGTGTGAGGAAAACGGCTGCTGCTCTCCTGTGGACAGCTGCACCGGGGACACAGGCTCATCTGCAACCACGCAAAACGTCCAGTCCTCCTCCCACGTAGCTGGTGGCAGCTGGCAGGAAGACTTTCATGGCGTTTGGGGAAAAAAAAATCTCTATATGTGAAAACGTCGGCAGGCTGTGGCCAGAAAACTTCCACGGACGAGCCCTCCAGCTCGTTACCAATGCCCAGCGACTATTGGGAGAAAGGAAGCAGGGAACCTGTCCCAGGGCCAAGGAAGGGTCACTGACCCTTTGTGGCTTCCACATCAGAGCATCAGTGCACTTAAGAGCCCTGGGAAATAAAGCCAGAGCAGCTGATCTGGATGAACCCAAGGCTCAAAGCAGCTGAACTTCGTCAGAACGGGAGCAAAGAGATCAGCTGTTAACATGCAGCCCAGCAAAAAAGAGTGTTTGCTGTCTTGCAAGAGATGCTAACAGGCTTATGTTAAAGCTTAAACTTCAGAAACCCTCCATGCAAGACTGGATATAATGAATTATCCTAGGTCACAAGGCAATTTAGCCAGGTAACGGCAGCGCCGCACTTCGTGATCGCTTGACCCCAAAGCCAAAGCACCGCTTGCGACGACCGGCTGGGCTACGAAACGCGGCCACGCGCTCCTCCCGTGAGCGAGACCTGCACAGCGGACGGCCCCCGGCATCAATGGCTTGGTCCGGAAACCAAGCTGCGGCCAATCTGGCAACGAGTTAAAGGCTGGAAAGAACCAAGCCACAAAAATAAGATGGAAGCTCCGGGTGAGGAGGAAACGAGCAATGCCAGGAACATGCCCGAAGGAGGAAGCATGCAGCGCTCTGGTCCCCTTCTTAGCAAAAAGCAGGGGTCGACAGAGGGAAAATTTGGGAGGTGGGCACATGAGGGCTGGGCTCTGCGGTGCTGAGCTAGGGAAAGCAAAACGTAAGTTATTTATAAGGTGCTGGTAATAGCAAGTTGCTATTTGACCACGTGGGAGTCTCAGTCTGCCTAAGTGACTTAATACAATAATCTAAAAGTGTCAGATACACAGCACAGGGCTGGGACGATTTTATTCACAACCGTCTTGCAAAAAGCAATCCTTCCTGACTCGCTCTTTATTTATAGTCTCTCCTAATAACTTGTTATTTATTCAACATCTTGCACTTCTGCAGAACTTGTCACGTGAGGACATCTGAGCATCTCACGAACGCAAATTGCATTTATCGCCCGTAACTACAAGAAATTACATTTAGAAATGATGTACTTAACAGGAAGGCATCACACATCTCCCTTACGGGGCTGGGTGAAGCGAGTAAGCCCTGCCTGCGTGAGAAAGGAGCCCACCTCAAGCCTGTTCTACAGCTAAAGCAAGGCAGCTCCCAGGCCGCTCGGCAGAAACGCAGCTTTTACCCATACAAGTCGAAGTGCAGTAGGGTTGGATATAGCTGCTGTTGTAGAAAACCAAAAATAAACCTGCCAAGAAGCAGACAGCTTTACATGGTTAACAAAATAAAATGAAAGATTATCACAGACTTAAGTTACCCCCCCTCCTTTGCACGTGTAACACGTGGGAAAAGACCAGGCTGAAGGCAGCCAGAAGAACCAGAAACAAAATCCAGGGGTTCCAACCACCAAAAATTAACAATTTATGACCCCTGTCAGACCCAGCTTACTGTTGACAGCCCCACATGCAATTTGCTGATAATTAGCACCAACAGTTCCCTTTCTCCCGGCCTCGGTGCTTTTATACAGCAAGTGCAAGCAAATAACACCTCGGGGCTCTGCAGCAAATCAGAGCCAGTCCTGAGCTCAGGGATGCTCCAGTGCTAGTAAACTGCCCGCGGGAAGGCAAAGTCTTTGTAAGTACTGATGCTCTGTGACAGGCTGGAAATGATCATCTTCACTTAAAAAAAAAGAGAAAGAGAAAAAGAGAGAAGAGAAAGAAAGAAAGGAGAAAAAGAGAGAAGAGAAAGAAAGAGAAAAAGATCTGTTCCTCCTTAAGGAGGGGCCTCGTGGCGCAGGGATTTACAGGCTTGCCCCCGAACCGAGGCAGACACTTGGAGTGCAAA